CCAAAGGTCCATCTAGCCCAGTATCCTGTCTACCGACAGTGGCCAGCAACAGGTGCCCCAGAGAGGGTGGACCGAAGACAATGATCAAGCGATTTGTCTCCTGCCATCCCTCTCCAGCCAAATAATTAATCGCGGCTTCATTTAAATTTAAATGGCTGCCCCGCTCTGCCGATCAGCTGTTTGTCGGCAGATCGGGGCAGTCTGGACGTGAAACCAGGTTTACCTGTGCCGATCAAGAAAAGCTTCTTTGTCGGCGCGTTGCGTCCTGACTGCCCCGATCTGCCGACAAACAGCTGATCGGCAGAGCGGGGCAGCCATTTAAATTTAAATGAAGCCGCGATTATTTTAATCGCGGCTTCATTTCCCTCTGCCTATCTGGCTAATCTACATGCCTCCGTCGACGGAGGCATGTAGTTTAGATGTACCCTTAGTGTGAACCCTGTTAAAGTCCTGGCCTTCACAACATCCTCTGGCAAGGAGTTCCACAGGTTGATTGAAGAAGTAGGTTTCAAGGGCAAATACCTCGGTGCCATGCAAGTCCTGTCAATAGTGTCATGCCCATGGAAGAGTTAACTTGTGAGAAGGCAGCAATTTTTGGAAGCCTTCAGTTCTGTCCCCTTGGCATCCTCAGCCAGCAAAAGTTTCTTCTGATGATGTAATGCTTCTACTTCCTGTTGCATTGGCTGCAAGCACTCGGTATTCTCCAGGGGAGTTGGCCTAACACTAAGCACCATGCTATATTCAGCTGTTAATTTTCTATCTTCTTTTCTGGACTTTTAAACTCTCTTGAGCCGAGAACAAGGGATCTGATCATTAAAACATGGGTCCTCTCAGCGAGGAGGGGTGGGGGCTCACCTCAAATCCACTCTTGACATTTCATGAGCCCCATAGGAGCATCTTAATATAATATACAGAGATATACCACCTCAAAGAGTTGAAAGGGACCTTGAGAGGTCATGGAATCCAGTCCCTTGCCCTCACAGCAGGACTAAGTACCACCCCTGACAGATTTGCCACAGCTCCCTAAATAGTCCTCTCAAGGATTAAACTCACAATGCTGGATTTAGCAGGCCAATACTCAAACCACTGAGCAATCCGTCCACTTACAAACCTGGGCGATTGACTATTGAATTAGAAGCGTGGCGGGTGCAGGCGTTAGCTGGCTGGCTGGTGGGATATATGAAAAAAAAGATGCACCTTTTACAGGGCTACTCCTCTACTCATGTCACAGACAGAGGGTGGCAGAAACATCGTTTAGAGGTGCACCAGGGTGAAAGTAGCTTAAATTTCTTACAGGTACCAAAGAGGGG